ATGACGGTCCAGAATCAGGTGTTCTGCAATCAGTGTAGAATACGAGTGCTGTTCAATGATGAAACAGGGGAAAAATTTTGTGCAGCAGTGGTAGCCAGTAAGCTTTATTGGGTTTATTGCGAATGGGATTCTGTGATATGCTTCATTCACTATCAAGTCGAAAGCCCCTCAACATTTGCTCTATGAGAGGCCGAGGCACAAGAAAAGTAGCCCGAGGAGTAGCAAGTGTTAAAAAACAACCATCCCCTACTAGGCTACGGCAGCAAGCGGGTGGTAAGATCGATTCCCTGGCACATGCTAGCACCACCAGCACGATAAAAGAATTGTAGAAGGATTGGTTTTTCTTTCGTATATAAGCTTTAAAACTATAGCAAATTGGCTTTAACTGGTAGTAGTTCTAAGCTGGTATGATGGACACTGCAAGGAGATCTCGGAAATAAACATTCTGGGCAGCAATTTTTGCAAAAGTGGGTTTTAGTCCTTCATCTAAGTATGATTTCGCTTTTTCATCCTACTGTTCCTTGAAAAGCCAAGAATAACTACTTGTTATTTTAAATCAGGATGATCCAGAAGCATCCAAGATGATTTGATTAAGTTAAAATTGAGGCCGTTTGTAGTAGTTGGAACAATGTAAATTTCGCAGCATTTTTATTTTTTTGCAGTAGGGAGTCAAAATGACCGTTATTTTGCAAGGTTTCACTTGTTCGCACGAAAGGTCACTTAGTAAAAATATATGTTCCCTTGCTGCTAGCACGATAGACCATACTGGTCTGCCTAATTAGCCTGATCAGGATGTTATACTGCTTATTCGTTCATATGAGGGAGAGTTTTGAGCTCTGTGAAGAATGCAGCACCGCTAAATTACTCGGAGATGCCAGGAAAAGTACTTAGTATTTGATGTTGCTGTTTCCTCGCCGCTCGATTTGGTTGCTGTCGGTGTTGATGGCATTGTCGTTGCGTAAGTTGGTAGAGTGTTTCCGGACCCTTCGGTGGCGCTCGGTGTTGAACTCGTCGAGAGTGTTTCCGGCATCGCTATAGAGAATGTCTCCACTTTTCGATTACCCATTCCCAGCATATCTAGATCGATTTTCTGATCTGAAACGTTGCCAATTCATGTAAAAGCTCACTGCATTCTTATTTATAAAAATGTTTTCAGCATAGACAAAAGACAGCAACTAGCCGGTACAAGCTGAACTGTGTTTGAATCTAAAAAACTGGTTTAAATGTCACTAAACCAGGAATGATAATAATGTGATGATGTGTAATTTCACGATGATAGCGAAAATGAAGCAATTTGCAATTTCGCCCGACAGGCGCATGACAGATCTTTCCCGACGACTGACCCCTTTTTCCGCATATGATTCTTGTTTGTGACAGTTCGCTTCACTTTCTCTCTGCACAAGTAGCTCCATT